ACCTGAAGAAATGTAAGATAATGAATGTAGATTATTGGAAGCCACTAAGTTTGTGGTAGTTGTTACAGCATCCATTGGACACTGATACATCTCTCAAGCACCAGGGCCTGGTATGAGGCAGGAAGAGGGGAAAGGGCATAGAGCAGGTGCCATTTAAGTCAACCCTCCTTTCCCTTTTAAGGAGCTTTCTGGAAGTCCTTCCCAACTTTTACTCACACTTCACTGGCCAGAGCTGTCCCGTGGCCAGCTTTATCTTTAAAGGAAGCTGGGTTATGTACTTTTTCACCCAGGCACATTGCCATCTCTAACAAATTAAGGATTCTGTTAGTATGGAAGAGGGAGAGAATACGTATTGGGCAGACAATTTAGAGTACCTGCCACGAACTCCCAGGAGCACTGACTAGTCTACAACAGTCATCATTCTTTCCTTTATTATCACTCGTTTTGGATTTTATTGTAATTTATGTGTTCACATGGCTGTCCTCATTACTTGGCCAAGAACTCCTAGGAGCAGACACTGTGTTTGATTTATTTCTGCATCCCCGGTGCTCAGCACAGTGCCTGGTACAGAGAATAAGTGTGAATAAAGTTCGATGGATGAATGTATAAATGAATTCTGAAATAAGAGAATGATCGATGCACTTCGTAGAGCCAGAGGTCCCTTGTATTTAACTGTGAGGATGGTCTGTTGGGATCAGGCAGATTTTGTAAGACCATTTGGCCATGGGTGCAACCTCACCACCAGTAAATTAAACCCACACAGCTGCAGTGTGTCATCTTTCCTTACGGCTTATTGCAGTTTGCTTTTTGCTCAAAAGGAACTGAGCAAGCCGGGTCAGAGGCTGTTGTGTGCACCTGTCACAGCCTAGAGAGCCTCGATTAACCTTGTGTATAAATTACACTTCCTGCCCATTCTTTATTTTTAGCACAGCAATATCTGTTGGGCTCCTCCAGAGAAGGCTGCATTAGATTTCAGTCATGAAACTACAAAACAGTGGTATTTCTAGCCCGGCTGGGATGACTGTTGTTAACCCCATGACACTGTTTCTCCGGAAGCTCCTGAGTTCCAGGACTCAGGTTTACCTGAGAAAGACAGCAGCCTGGGCTGCCCAGCACCCTCAGAACCTGGCTTAAGGCCACATGTGCATTTGTAGAAAAATCTGCTACTTGGACCTGACTTGCTTAGACTTACATAAACTCTCCATTTCCTTCCTTCATTCCCTTTGGGGTGAAACTCAGTTGTTATCGCAAAGGTTTAGTTTCGTTGCTTTTCTCTCTCTCTCTCTCTCTCTCTCTCTGTCTCTCTCTCCCTCTCTCCTCTCTCTCTCTGTTCCTTCTCAGTTACGCAGTATCATGACCCAAATCTTTAGCACCTGAACTATATAGCTGAGAGCCCTGAAACCCATAGGGCCTGGGCAGGCTATGGAGGCAGGCCAGCCGGTGGGCATCAGGTCACAGAGAATTCTTAACCACTTTGGGCTGCTTCACCGAAGAATTGAGTTCCTCAGAGGCAGCCATTTTTTTTTTTTTTTTTAGTCAGCCATTTTTAACTGGATCTTGTTTATTGTAGAATCTTCTGTAGTGCCTAGCTCTGAGTCCAGCCAAACAAGCTCAATAAATGTTGGCTTTGAATTTAAATAGGTGTTCCCGTGTGTCTCTTTTAACCCTTGACACATGAAAAGCTGAGGCCCTGGCCTCTCTCTTATATGATGGCCTGTGAGATGCTGCCTTCTCAGCACTAGGCTTCAGGAGGTATTTAGAAAAGGCAATTTATTGTTTTTATTCTGGTTAGAGAAGTAATAAATTAATTTTTTAATTGGGAAAATATTGAAAATTGTAAAAACAAAATTAAAATCACCTATAGTTCCATTACCCAGAGACAACTGCCAGTGATATTCTTCTGTTTTCTCAGTCTTGGTCCTTACGAAGGAGTACCCTACTTCCTTCCAGATTTCTCTGAGGATTAGTAGAATGGAAGAGAGGGTAGGTTATGTTTTTCTAATCTTTTACCTTCAAGTAAAAGGTACTATTGGGATATATAAACATATATTATATAATTAGAAAATATAATTATTGGGTTATACATATATAATTAGGGTATATATACATATATTATAAAATGCACACACATATATATATTTGACCTGTATTAGTTAATTATCACTACAATAAAGGTATATAACATACTCCCTCAAACTCAGTGGCTTAAACCAAAAGTCATTTGTTCTTGCTCACACTTTTGTGAGTAGTCTGGGCATTTGCTGATGTAGGCTGGGCTCCGCTGAGTGGTTGTAATTTCAGGCACGGCTCCGACAGGGCATGCGTGTGTGTTCTTTCTGAGGCCCAGGCTGAAGGACCACAGGTGCCCAGAGAAGCTCTTCTCTTGGCTCTGGCAAAGGTACAAAAGGATGAGCTCAACTGGGCATGCACTTTCTAAGCCTCTGTTTGTGTCTTATCTGCTGATGTCTCATTGACCAAAGCAGGTCACATGGTCAAGATCCACATCACTGGGTCAGGGAAGTCTATACCCTTCCCATGGTGGTAAAGGAAGAAGGGAGAGAATGTTTTTGAGAATAATAAAATCTACCGCAGATCCTAAATATCTGCTGAAGTACTCTGTCCTTTGAAATTTAAATAAAATCTGCTCGAAACCCACCAAAATAATTTACAAAGATGTGTGTAGAAGATTTTGGTGGGTATTTGGACAGCAAATAAGTTTTATATCTCTATTTTCATATGTCTACATTGCTTGGCCCCTCTCCTGTAGATTCTGTTTGCATCTTAGCCCACACACAGCCTCTCAAGTCAAAGCATGCTGAAGAATTTACCCTGGTCTCCAAAATTCTGAAGGTCTTATCATGGCTGAGCCACACTTTTGTGCAACTTGGTTCAGCTTTTTTTAATTTATTCGGCATAGGTGTATTGAGCATTTGCGCCCTCCTGCTGAGGAATTTGCAATCTAGTAGAGGAAATTAATAATTTACGTTACTATTCGGGGCCAGATAATTCTTTGTTGTGGGGCTGTCCTGTGCATTGCAGGATGTTCAGCAGCAACCCTGGCCTCTACCCACTAGATGCCAGTAATACTAGTCTCACCCGCCTTTGAGTTATGGACAACCAAAATATCTCTAGACTTTGTCAAATATCCCTTGCAGGGGAGGAGGGAGGCTAAATCATCTAGGCTGAGAACCACTGCTCTAACATATAGCAGACTTGGGACGATGTCTGATAGACCAAAATCACATGCTAAGAAATGTTCAGAAGAGGGTGATGTTATTTCCTGACTGTGAAATCTGTGAAAGCCTCATGGCATGGGGCATCCAAGCTGAGAACTCAAAAATGGTTAAGGGTTTGAGATAAGTTTCCTGGAAGAGGGAAAAACACAGGGTACCTATGGTCAAATAAGAGTAGCTCTCTGTGGACTAAAGCATAAAGTGAAATAGACTTGTTGGTAAGAGTGAAGGTCAGTTACTATAGGGCTTTAGAAGGTGTAAGACTTCCACTTTTACCCTGAGCGAAATGGTAAATATATGTGAAGCTGTGTTCATTTGGAGGCGGTACCTTTGGATATAGGGCTTGTCCTCATAGCTCAGAGTAATTGCAGCAACGTCTCACCCCTGCAGAGGTCATTTTCCTGACACCCAGGAAGGGAGGAGAAAAGGCCTCCTAGGGGCACAGTGCATCCCTAAATAAATCCATGCCTATGTCTTGGTGTTCCTTTCTTCTCAGACGACCTCACTCTGAACTCCTAAGACTCTAACAGACTTGGTTAACCAGTTCCCAAAAGCAGATTAAAAGATGGAAAGGGAGCGGGGCGAGAGAGGGGATTAGTATATAGGCAGGAACAGATTCAGCAGCAAAGCTTCCAGCATGATGGAGGGGAAAGAGACCAAGAGCAAAAATGAATGAATGAGCGATTGAATGAATAAACAAATTCAGACCAAATAATTCAAGAGGCATGGCAGTGGAGTCTTTTACCAGGGAAACACCTATTTCTCCAAGACATTGCTGCATGACAGTGCTGCCCTAGTATGCCAACATTATGCAAGATTTAACAAGGTGGGGAATGTGGGAAATGCTGTAGAACCCACGCAGTGAGCGTTTGGCACAATGGATAGGGGCAGAGTCCAGAGTTAGACCTCCTGGCATGAATCCCTGCTTCAAGGCTCAGCAACAGTAAACTAGTTACCTAACCTTGATGACGGCATCTGTAAAATGGGATTCCCTACTCACAGGGTCATTGGAAGGTTTGAATAAAATAATCCATGTGACTTCTTAGCTCAGTTCCTGGCACAGACAGAATAAGTGCTCAATAAAAGCTAACGGCTATTACTATCAACTCACTGAAGGAGACTTCCCCCAAATCGTAGCTATAGCTGCTGTTCTGGACTATTCCCAGAGTCTCCTGGCAGTGCTGAAATTTCCCTTTCAGAAAATACATAGGATGGCTGTGAAAACTGAGGAACATTTCAGAAGGATAGGGGCAGTTGCATCTGTCTCCTTAGTTTCCCCTCTTTTAGGCAGTAGAAGCCAGGTCACTGAGGGAGGGGACAGCAGGCTCCCAAGGGCACTGGCCACCTGCCTTTTCTTGGTGACCTATTTCCTTTGAGCAACAATGGCACTTTACCTTTTGGCCAACCTGAGGGAAGAGCCGTTATTCTGGGAGAATATGGAGCTATTTTCCCTCAGATACTATGTCACGTGCTATGTAAGAATAATCTACCTCCAAACAGGAGGTGGGTGCACATGAATAGGGTTGGAGGGGAGATGTCACCGCATACTGCAAAGTGGTGGCTGTGAACCCGTGGCGGTAGCTCTGCCCAGTGCAGAGCTGGAAACGCAGGAGTCTCTGTGATGTAAAGGCTTGGCCTGGCTCCTCGGCGTCATGTAAAACGGAGGCTGCCAGGAAGGCACAAATCGCCCAGCAGGAAGGAGCTGCTCTCTTGCCCGGGGATAGCAGGACAATAAAGTAACTTGTCCTCTGTTTGTGTGTTTTCCAGGCTGGAGCAGGAAATACAAATGCTAGAAAGCGAAGAGTCCCAGATATCTGCCAAAGAGCAAATCATCCTAGAGAAACTAAAGGAGACAGAAAAATCCTTCAAGGACTTTCAGAAGGTGAAGAACACAAATGTGATTTCTCTAAATTATGTCCGTGGGGAAGTAAGCCCTAGCAGAACGGTGCGAGCTGGAGAGCAGGCCAGCAGGTATTGATGAGGAGAAGGCTGAGCCAGGGACTCTGTGAGATAAGGGGCAGGTGCGTGAGGACCAGGTGTTGTCCTCAAGCTGAGCGTGGCCTGTCTTCAGGTGTGGGACCACCTGGCCTGCCGGGACACCTAGAGAAGCGTTATTAGATTGCCCCCACCTGCCTGCTGCCCAAAAAGTCTTCTCCTACTGGACCCAGAAGTCTAAAACCAATTTCTATTAAGCAGATTAAACACGTTCTCTGTGGCTTTAATTATACTTTGCCGTCTGAGTCTTTCCTTTGTATAAAAAGGCCAGACGCGATACCATATGAAATGGTTATGAATTCCAAATACCGAGAGTGTAATTACAAGAAATGTTACTGTGTATAAAAGCAGATGGTGTCGCGTAGCGAAGAGTAGAGGGTCCATAGAGCAGGTAGGTTCTGGACATCTCAGAACCTCCCCCCCCGTTTTGTGACGCCTGTTCCCTCACTACCTGTCAGTGACAGAAAAGCAACCTAATGAAACCGATTTAAGATGAGATTTTCTGATATCACTTCTTGAACACAACTGAGGATATTTGCTAGGTAATTAAAATAAAACTCTATTGGGAGAACGGTAAACCCTTCCTTTAGATTTTGGGATTCCCCAAAAACAAGTTTTCCAAAAGGAAAGAGAGCGTTGGGTTTGCCCGGCACAGTCAGATTCTGGGCCCGGCCTGGGGGAAAGGCTGGTTAAGTGACTGCAGATGATCTCCCCACACGTGCAGTAACGCTCTGCCCTGCTTTTGTTTCCACAGGGCTTCTCCAATACGGATGGAGGTAAGTGCTCTCTGCCCTGACTGTAGAGCAGTGTTTTTATCCTGGTCAGCTTAGGGGGTTTCACTAACACGGGCTCCCCAGGAGACGTGATGTGTTGATTTGTAAAGGCATCAGAATACGAAGTAGTGCTGTTTGCAGGGCACTGAGGCGGTCCACATTGCAAGTCTTCTCTGCTTCTATTTTCCAAGACCTGTTTCTTGACTCGTTTGCAAAATTAGCCTGGCTCTTCTCCTTCCCATTAGGTCCCAAAGGTTCACTGTTTGAGCCCCTCTTAAAAGGTGCTCAGCAAAGAAGAATTCCAACACAGGGCCAGGTCCCTTGCAGGAATGAACCCTTTTGTCTTGGTGGTTAGGTCCCTAGGTCGCGACCCATGTCAGAAGGTCAGCATTTGGTGTTTAGGAAATCTTTCTAAGGCCTCTGTTTTTTTCTTTTCTTTCTTTTTTGAATCAGAAAACTACAGTTTCTCCAGCCTTCCAGGGAAACAGGGCTGGACAGAACTTCCCTTCTTGTCTGGGGTAGTTGGCTGAGAGCACATGAAACGGGGAGCAGGGCCCTCGCTTCCTGTCCCATCCTGGCAGGAGCAGGTCTTTCTCCTTCTCTCTTTCTCTACCTTGCCCTTGTCCTCTCTTCTCCTTGCCTGGATTGTGGGGGGTGAACTTGGAAGGTGCACTTCTCACCCTTGATCTTGCTCCCTGACCTCGGCTGCAAACCCATGAAGCCTGCTTGCACTGGTTCCTCAGCTGTACTTGCTGTACAATGCAGGAACTTGTGGGAAGGGCTGGCTGCCCTCTGCTTGCCTGGTTCTTACAAGATCAGCCTCTAGACTAGGAAGATGATTAGGAGCCAGAATGAGTTGACATCAGAGTGTTTTCTCAGTGTCATTTGAAAAAATATGGGGAGGGGAGTTTAAAAATGCAGAGATGTGTGATGTGCTTTTCTGGATTAGCCAAAGACATTTTCACTAAGGATAGTTCTGACTTTGGCAGAAAAGATATTGTGATTTTTTTTCTTTTCCCAGCAAGAGAAAGGCAGGAGATCTGGATTTGGGCTCCCTGGGTGATCTTTGGGAAGGTACTAAATTAAACTGCATGTTCTGAGTGCATGTAGGCAGGGACAAGTCAGGGCCAAGCCAGCAGTGACTCCATGAGGAGAGGACCAAAACAGTACTAGGAACTTTCTGGGAGTGACCAAATCAGGGCACTTGTTCTGTGCTTTGGAGGTTGGGCAAGGACTGAGGAGGTGGCCTTGGGGAATTGAGGGTGCAGCATGGAGAGGATAGCAGGTCTCCCTGGTGCTCAGGAAGACCTGAGACATTTCACATGACCAGCAATAGTGCAGTAAATGTCAGGCAGGGATGGGGTTTGGGATATCGACACCCAAAAACCTGATGCGTGCACGTTGCCCTTTTATGCTCTCGCTTCTTTTTTCTGTTCCCTTCTCAAATCAGGAACTTCTCTAGATTTCTCTCTGATAATTAGGGAAGAAAAGGAGTCTGCATGTTATGTCCCTGAGAAGGCTGCATGGGTAGTGGGGATGTATATAGTCTGTGACTTCTTTACAAGCAAAAATGAAGCCATGTCATAAATTCTCACCACCATGTCTTTCATTTTCACCCTGAACCTCTCCTCTGTAAGTGACCACTCTGACCTTCTCTGGCAGTGAAGAAATAGAGATAGACCACTCTGACTTTGGCAGGAAGAGGGCAGTTTACTGATTGAGGCCATCGAAAGAAATGTTTCCCATCGAAGGTTTGGAGGCCCTGCTTATTACTCCTGTGCTGGTCTATCAGACACTTCCTGGCTGCCTGACCTTAGGGTTTAGGACTTAGTGATATATTGAGGGGGCTCTTCTCCTCCTCGTGTCCATCCTCCACTCCCTTATCTCTTAATAGAAGCCATGTAGCCCCAGTCCTCCAAGAGCTGCAGCCTTCAAGCTTATAACCAGTGAACACTGGGCAAAGGTAACTCCATCACCCACTCCCACCTGTCAGGGAGCTGTCTCCTGGAGGAGGCTGAGACATAAGCCCTAGGAATTAGATGCTCTTTCAGATGCAGAATCCCCTATCTGTGAGTGGCTTTTATTTCCACTGCTAAAACTTTTAGTATGCAAAGATGCCCTAGAAACTCTACATATCACATAAAATGTACTGGATGCACATGTGACCAGTCTGTGAAATCTCACTTGGCCTTAATGGGTTGAGCCTCCATCTTGTTTTGAATGCAGAAAGTCAGATTTACTGAGATCCCCTTTCACACATTTCTGGAAGTCTTCAGTGAAACTCAGACATACTGCAAGTCTACTCTGGTCTTCTCTCCCAAACTGTCCCTCTAGTCCCAGATTGCTGCTTCATTCATTTCATGGGCCACTGTCACCAATCTGCCCACACCCCCTCAGGACCAGCTGACCTCCAGCTGCTGCTCTTTCTGGTCCTGCCTGGTGCTGGTTTTGGAAACAGACACAACTCCCCACAGCAGAAGCAGAGAAAAGTCTGTGACCTAAGTTCAGGAATAATGGAAGCACAGTTCAACGTAGAGAATAATGTGCGACTTCAGACATGTGGCTATACTGAGAGCCACTGGCTCAAATCCAGACCTGTCTCTGGGCGGCGGTGGGGGGGGTGGGCAGAGATCCCTGCAGGCTTCATGGCCATTCTCCCAGCCCACTATCATCTCAAAGGCTCAACTTCCTTCCTTGCGGTGAGAGGGCCTTCAACCTCGTCTGCCCTTCCCAGGATCCAAGCTTCAGCACACATGAGGCCCCACAGAGAGAAGGCAACTTTGTTTACTCTGATACTGCATAGCCTCACTCCAGCCTAAGGCTTGCCTGCCTAATCCTCATTTCCTGTCCCTTCTCCCCAGATGGTTGATATGGAAAAATCCATTCTCTTAGAGAAACTCCACCTTTGCCCTGAGAACATAATGATCTGGTATCGATACATTCTGGATTGTGCAGATTCGCACATGAGTCAGCAGAGGGACTAGCTGGTGTAGAATTGAACTAATCCTAGTCCAGTGTCTGTTCAGATTCCTCCCCAGCAAAAAATTAAAAAGAAACCTGCCACAACTGAGGCAGTGCCGATGGGGATACAGAGGAGGAGACGGGTATAAGAAACGCTGGAGGGGGCAGAGGTTCCAGGACTGATCAGATACCAGGAGCGGGAGGAGTTGACGGCACCGCCGAGGATCCCGGGTAAATTTTGGTGCCAGTGAGCCAAGATAGAGTACTGAGGAATCAGTGGGTGAGCAAGGTCCATCTTAGACTTGTTGAGTTTGGGGTGACTGCGGGATATTCAGTGGAGGTGTATCCAAACAAGTGGTTAGATGTGATCATTGATGAGTGATGGACATTCTGGGATTCTGCAACATGGTCTTGACACATGGGAGAAATCATATCCCATGGAGCCCAGCTTTCTAGTCTCTTCCTGCTTTCACTTTCCCTCTTCTCTCTGGGGGATACCCAGATTCTTCTTGCCTCACCCCAGTGGTTTCCCCCTCGCCTCTGATACCTTGGCATGCCTGCTAATGCTCACACCCTCCAAGGTGTCATCTCCCTAAGTAGGCTTGTCAAGCAAAGCAGAAGGACATGTTTGCACAGCAACATGTCCTGCAGCTGAGCTAATGGCAAGTTCACTAGGTGTTGTCATTTGGAATCTCAGCTTGAAACACCAGCCTGAAGTCGTGAAATCATGGGATAAATTCTAGAGTTGTTTGTTTATTTGTTTTAATGCATATAAAATTGGTCTTCTGGATGAATCAGGCACATAAAGTTATGTTCCCAGTTCAGGGAATGAACCTCCTAAGAATTGGGCGCATAAAACTCTATTTCCAGTTTGGGGAACGAATCTATTTTTCAGGACTGTTTAACGCACACTTCTAGTTTGACATCCCGTACTAGGCAGTCCCACCAAATTGATAATGGCTCTCATGGGGCCCATCTCTGACTCTTCCCCTCACCTCCCCCCAGCCAGGACTCATTGTCCTCCTGGAATCTAGAGCTTTCCGATGACTTTCTAATACACAGAGCAGTTCTGGGGCTTGAGCTCTCTGGCTGGGATCCCTCCTACCTCAGCTACTCTGCTGAATACCAGTCACCGGGCAAATGCTTGTCTTTGTTCACTCTGATCCTCCTGTTCAGTGGCCGCCTCAGCGGTCCATTATGTAGGGCAGACAAGCTGCTGTCTCGGCAGTCAACCCATTGGGCCTCCCAACACTGTGCCTAATTGTATTCCCTGTTCTCTGCTACCAGATGCAGTAAATTACATTTCCTCCCAGCTACCCGACCTGCCAATCCTCTGTTCACCAACAGCAGAACCATCACCTGGGCAGGACGGGACCAGCAGAGCGGCTGGTAAGTCCTGGGGAGCTTTTTGGTGTTGACACCAGGACTGTCCAAGGGGCTGGCATTTCTCTGAGCTTTGTTAATGAGATGAGTGCCCTGCTGTCCTTACAGAGAGGACCTCTCCTTCAGCCCTGCCTCAGATGCAACCTTGACAGCAGCTACACAAGGCAGGCTCTGGCCTCTGGTGGGTAACTGAGGACCCAATGGGAGGGAGTTTTGAGGAAATCATAGGGCGTTTCACCTTCAACTTTGAGGGAGTCTTTCTTTTGCATTCGTGGACTTTATATCTGCCTTTATTCTCAGAGTTAATGTATACTCTGCCTCTAGGGATTTTTATTTTCCTCATTGATTTATTTTCCTCATTTGAGTTACACAAATCAAAAGAGCTATGATGGAAGCTGGGTGGGAAATATTTTCAAAACATATGAGTATATTTCTGGAAGCCTTTGGGAATTGAGCTGTTTATATATTATAAATATATATTCCCAAGTCTTCTCATTTCTAGAGTTATTTCTTAGTTACTTTGGTGTATTTGGAGGAAAAAGTGGCAATTTAAAGAACATATGTTTCTTGCTAATGTTTCTCACAATTAGGGATTTTATAAAATAATACATTTCTGAGTGTGGAGTATATAGAGAGCCGTGCTTGGTCTGCTTAATGCAGATGTGCCTCAGAAATCAGGAGGATGTGAACAATAACTCTCTGCACCAACCCTTTTCCTCTACGCAGAAATGTGCCAAGGGCTGGGGGTTAAATGAAAGCATGAATTGCCCAAAGTTGCATAGTTAGTGACAATATAGGTGAATTCAAATATGAGTATCAGATTTTGCTTTCATCTTTTACGTAAGTTTATGTTTATAGTAAATTACATGATGACACATTTTATACAATAAAACAATCCTGGATGTTTAAGCCAGAGAAAATATTTTATATAGGCCAATCTGAGTATTTTATGAAGCAAATAATCCCTCCTTATTTTAACGTAGAAGTAAAATAAAAAGGCAAGTGAGTATTGACATAGTTGTCTTGTCCACTGGCTAGTTTCTATATCTACTGGCCATCTCTGAAAACGTCTTAGCATATTACTTTTATGTACAGACTCACAGAGTTCTAGGGCTGGACGGGACCATTGGTGGTGCCTGGTCAGACCCAGGCCAGTTCCGCGTACTCCTGGACAGTGACAGGATGGATGAACTGGAACCTGCAGCCTGTGGTTATGCTTCAAAAAAATCACTGGCGTCACCTAAACTTTGGACTCTTTCAAGTGCTCTGAGGTGCACTTCGGAGATCACCTTGGGTAACAAGTTTTTAAAAGTCACATACTCTCCTGCTTGTTATCAGAGACTTGGGTGTTGATGGTTCCTGGTAGCTGTGGGCAGACAGCTTCCCAGCTCCTCTCCACAAGTTCCTGCACCACCAAGAACATGGAATATGAGCCAGTGAATGGATCAGCTCATGGAGAGGGTAGGGGCAGTGTATGAGCACTAATTTTAAGAAATAGAAAAAGAAGTTGAGCGGCATGGTAGTCAAACAGTGTCAATTTCAAGAGTAATACATTAATGTGACTACAATGCTGTGTAAGTAGGAATACACATACTACAACCACCTAGCATCCTTCACATTTGAAGATACTGCAAAAACATGATGATCCAAAGAGCAAATGCATTTTAAGTATATTGTGATCAGAATATTTTTCAAATGAAGTTTACATGTACTTTGTTTATTAGTTAAGAATTAATTTGCATAAATGCCATTACTATGGGACTACTTATAAGCAGAGGTGTGGAAGGAAACACATTTGACGTGGTCAACTTCTTTGTCCAGGCTGTTTTTGGAATGGGGTGTTCAGATTTGTTATCAATTATTGTTAACAGTGACTACACAGAGCATGTGTAACATACCAACCAACGGCACTTGTCACTAGAATTCTCCTAGATACAATTTGTCTTGCTTTTGGAATATCTTTTTGGAAATTTGCATAACCTCAGAGCCATTTTTACAAATGTCACCTGTCATTATTGAGTATTATGATAAATATTTTGGATTTTTTTTTTAATTTGGGTTTAGGACTCTGTCTAAATAGAAATTTAATTAGAATCATTGCTTTTCAGAGTTAGGGGGCATCTATTCCAATCCCTTATCCAAACACTGACTTCCTGCCACAGCAGCCCTGCGAAGAGGTCCTCGAATCACGGTCACACCAGCGTGATCAGAACTTAATCTCCCTCCAAACAGCCCACTCTGTCACTAGGTGGTTCTGACTATTGGGAAATTCTTCCTCTGATGGAGCTGTTATTTCTTTGCCTTCATCTTCTACCTGTTGGTCTTTATCCTGCCCCCTGGAGCTACTCGGGACAAATCTAAGTTCTGTTTTCCTCTCAAGCATTAGAAAATGACTGTCATTTCCCAACTTTCCCAGATCCTCACTCTGAATCCCCTATTTGCCCCCAGCCCTGGTCTCTTCTGCTGATCCTGAGATGATGAGATGCTTTGAGACACCCTGTGACATCCCTGTCCCTCCCCTCTGAACACTCCTCACCTTGTCTCTAGTCTTCTTGAAATGAAGTGCTCAGAGCTTCCCTGTACACTCTGGGGTAGGCTGTTCACCCCCAAAATAGAGCACGATGCCACAGACCACGTGGCTGTGGGCATCGTGGCCTTTCAGCTTCTAAAGTAAAGCCTCAGAGTCATTTCACATGTGCCACTGCCCGGCCTCATTCCCTTTATCCGGTAGAGTCGGCATTTCAGAGTTGTTCCAGTTGAAATGTGCGGTCTGTCCCTCCTGATTATGCACTTCCTGCGTCACCTGCTCACACAGAGAAGGACCTATGCAATTCTTTTATTTCTTAATCTCAAGAAACAAAAATAAGAATGAGCCTTCCTGCCCTTTGTATTTTGCTACGACTGTGAAATATCTTCCTGTTAGATTTCACATGAATGTTGGGGGTTTCACGGAGTCACCAGAGGAACCACGGCAGGAAGGTGGGAGGCAAATGATGTCATGGGATTTGACCGTCAGGGCTCTGGTGTTGCCTCCCATTCAGACCCAGCAGCTCTCCTGTCCTTGTGTTTACATATTGTACTTCTGCGTCAGAGTTCATTTGAATCCAGAGTTTAACAGTTTTGAAAGTAGAAAATTCTCTTCTCTATTGTTGGGGTCTTTATAGCTCATGACTGTGGTACTTCATTGTCTCGCTTTTCCTCTCAGGTCAGTGCCACCTCAAATCTGGAAAACAGTCTTGCATTATTTTTCCTCATTTCACTAATAAAAACGTTACATGTTAGAACCAAAGTCAGAGGCCTGTAGCACACCATTAGGGACCTCTCCGCCCCCGGTAACCCTAAATCGGCAGTTAAGGGGCACGAGCATTCAACCACTAACAAGTTCCAGCAATTGTCCTAACACTAGGGCACATGTTTCTGTCTTGCCCACAGGAGTATAAGGGACTTGGTGACAATCCAGATACACTGGATGCTTTCAAATGCAATTTGCCTAATCTTTCTAGAGACCTTGAATGAAAAGGAACGTGAGATTAATCTATCTAGTTTCTGCCTGAAAACCCAGTCTGGCTCTTGGTGGTCTCTGCTCTTTGAAAATTAACCTTAGAATTTAGCTAGCCACGATGCCCACCTCCTTCTATGTAGTTTAGAATCCCTTTCTTCTCGTTTTTGAAAATCAGAACTTCAAGCGTCTGCCTCCAGCAGCTTTTTTTGGCGTACAACATTCTTGAGACAAATTCAGCCATAAGGGAACTGAGACCCTGGGCCCAAAACACCAAGAGTATTTATTTCTCTGAGCGCTTTACCATTTCCCAATCTTCTCCACTCATCTGGGCTTCACTTTCTTCTCGGTAATGTTCTTTCTGGCACCTTTCAGACTGAAAACTAGCTTTCTGGACCAAAAAGATAGAAGCAAAATCAGATATGAGAAATAGGCTTTTGCTTTTGTTATCTGTCAACATCACACCCTTGCTGACTTATTTTTATTAATACTAAGGTGTCTTGGGTAAAGAAATTTTTGATCTCTGTTTTTGGGGGTTTTTACAAATAATTTTTATTGATACATAATTGTCCATATTTATAGAGTACATGTGATATTTTGATACATGAATATAATGTGTAATGATCAAAACAGGGTAATCAGATACCCCTTACCTCAAACATGCATCATTTCTTTATGTTGGGAACATTCCAAATCTTCTAGCTATTTTGAAATACATGCTGAATTATTGTTAACTATAGTCACCCTCTTGTTCTGTGGAACACTAGAACTTATTTGTTCTATTTAACTGTAGTTTGGAAGTTAGCGATTGCTCTCTGGAATGAGAGGGAGAATCAACTCTGAATTAATTCCCTCATTTTTGTTGTTGACATCATAATAGTCAATTTTACATTTTCAACCTCAAGAGAAGGTGTATGCATAATCATTTGCTTGAAGGGACAAGACTGCACGTGTGTCTGTTCATTCAGTGAGTCACGCATGTGCTAGCATGTGCCACGTGCGATGCCCCAGCTACTGGATGTTCATTATGCTGGAATGACCCTAGCTGAACTTCCCGTGATGGGTGACAGTCGTGATCTGACTGGCCACTGCCCTCCTACTGTGTTTCACACATCAGTGACTCGGGAACCATGCAGGCTGTTCACAGCAGCAGAAAATGCCAAAGCCACATGCCTTTCATTGCACAGATGAGAAAAGTGAGGCCCAGTGATCTCGACAGGCATTCAGATCCACTGTCTTTCTCCCTCCCCCTGTACCTCCCATCTCACCGAGTAATGACAGGTGGGTGTGCAGTCCTTACACTTGACATGTGGCCCCTCATCCTTGTCCCTCCCCAGGCAATCACAGTGAGTCCAAGAAAGCGAGCTGGGAGAGCCTGAGTCATGAGATTTAACAATTATTGAACTTTCCATCCTCCCAGAATGCAGTCTTGTTTTGTAGGTTCTTGGACTGATTCCAAAATGGAATCGTGTCAACTGCCCACCCCCTTACTTATATCAGATGCTCA